AGTTTTAAGTTTGTCTTAGAACATGTATTTGATCTTTAATTTTAAAATTAATAAAGGAACCAAAGGGAAATATATACCATGACTTAAAAACCAAATTGCTCTCTTCATCATCCCAATTTTTTACTTCTTTTTACTCTTTATTTATCAAATTAATTGATGATGGTTCTTTTTTGAGAAGGATCTATTCAGGCATTTAAATATCTTCAGCATGTTATTTGGCCAACCTCCACCTCACTTCTAAAATGCAATAAAGAACTGTGTTAGCTAATTTTTCTTTAATTTGTCTTTTTTTTTAATATTATTGACTTGACTGTTTTTTATTTGAGGAGTATCTTTTTTGCTTTACTAAAAATAAAATGCTATTATGTAGAAATTTGAACTACAGATATATATAATTTATTGAAAACTATATTTTTTATAAATTCAGATTAAAGTTTTGGAACACATCTATAACAATTTTTCCTATTGGTCAAATTGAAGAGAATCAAAACAACATAAATTACCTTATTGGTGAAAATTTTCTATTGGTCAGATTTAACATTTATCTTTTTGAAAAATTACATTTTACTTTCTAATTCAATCAGGGAATTTTCGAGTATTTTTTTTAATATTAATGTCGTTATTTAAAATCCAAATAATCACATGATTCTGCGGACCCATGAGACTGCAGAATCATATAACTACGTATTATACAGTATTCATCATCAAAATTGTAAATACATTTGCAACTGCTCATTCTCTATAAATCATATAAAAAATATTTTGCATATCTACAAATGGAGGTTAAACATCGAAAAGAATCGAAGGGAGAAATTAAAACTATCAAAAAAATATATAATAGCACTTCAGAGAACGGGCGGCGTTTACTGGAAAGATCCATAACAAAAAATGTTATCAATCTTTTAGAATACCGCCCACAATTATTTATTACCAATCTATTTGTTGATAAAATTATTTATTATTTTATTAAACAAGACAAGAAATTTTAAATTTTTTACAGAGTTCATATAGTTAAAAAAGGCTTTTAAACCCCTAGACATATGTATAGTAATAGATCCTATTTTAATTCTGTCATCTGTATTTATACAAAATGTGTCAAGTGTAAAGCTTACCAGCTTCTATGTTACCAAATATAATTAAGTTTAAATCCATACTTTAAGTATTTTGTTGCAGATCCTTAATTTTAGATATATGTGTTCCAAAACATTAAATTAGTTTGAACTTGATTCAGTAATTCCCATAAATAAAATATTTCTATTAAGTTTGTTAGTTCTGTTCATTATAAAATTGTAATTGTATTGATTAATTTCAATTAAAAAAAATTCAGGCTTGTATTATAATTATTGTTCAATTCTGGTTATACATCTTACTGAATAATTAATGAAAGCAATGAAATTTATTTTTTACTTTATAACTTTTTTATAATATATTTTATTAATAATACTAGCTAAGGAACAACCATATCATCAAATTCGTCAACTTCCTCAGCTGATAATGATGACGCAAGTATTTTATTAATAAATTTTAATTCCAAAAAAACAGGAGGTCGTTATTAAAGAATTGACTTATCAGATTCTCAGTTGAATAACTTGAGAGAGAATTGCTATGAAAATTTCACCAACAATTCTGACTAACAAAAAAATCTCGCTATTGAATTTATTTTTACATAAATTCAGCACAATCTCTTCATGAAATATAATAATAATTATCACGTGACCTTTTGTAATTACTATATTGTAATATAAAAATATGTTTTAACATGTATAATTGCATAACAGATCAACATTATATATAATATTAATCATATCGTAAATGCTGTAAATCATATATAACTCGGAGTTTCGTTTTAATGTTTTGTCAAATAGGTAATACGCGAAGATAGCATAAAATAAAACAAAATTGTTTTAATTATTTCCTTATTTGAACAAGTTCATTTACGAAAAAATGTATTAAAAGAATCATATAAAATCTGGTTTTTAGAATTGACTAAAAATTACAATTACAAAATGTCAAGTAAAAACAGTTTAAAGCTCTTAGCATTATTGTTAAGAATTGCCTATACAGCAACTACTATTTTTTCTTATTTTATTTTTTCTTTGCTGAAAATTGCTTATACAATTTTCCTGACTTTTATTTTTTTGACTTCTTTAATCATTGTTATATTGTTTTTCGCATCTTCGATTTTAATATTAAATATAATTCCGATTTCACCTCTCTTGTTGTTCTCTGGTCTCGTTGTTGGTGTTTCTGTATTATTTACAAGAACTATCTACAAAACTAAATTAATTTGCTCAGATATAGGTCGAATACCCACAAAAGAAGATTTTATTATGAAAAGTAGACGTCTATTGAAACATCTGAAAAATTATATTAAAAAAAATTTTGAAACAAAAAGATCAAATGAATCTCTTATCGTAGAAACTTTAAATAAATCCCAAATCCTAACCTTCAACACAGAACTATTTTCTAATTTAAAGCTTAATTCTAGTTCCAAGACTACTAAAGCCTAAAACCGTAGTTACTTCTATTTTTTCTTAGAGATAATCTTATGTGTCGATTCATGTGACCTTATTTCTACCTTAATGTTGGCAGAGATAAGGTCTCGTGATTAACATTTCTGTATAATGCTGGCCAAACAACCGTGATATTCATAAACTAATAGTGAAAAACTAGTAGCTTATAGTTCGCAACCTTATCTAAACGAACTTACATTAGATTACATAAATTCTCTCGTAAAAATTTTTTCAACACCAAAATAGATAATTCAAGTTGAATAAAAAATAAAATGTATAATTCGTTATTATATTGATGACACTATTAATTCAATTGTCAAATATATGACCCAATTCTTTGCAATAATAATTTTTTTTTTATAAGAAAAAACCATGACCTTAAGGTTAATGTCGATTTAATTATAACGATTCTACCAAATTTATGTTTACCAGAGTTACTAGCTAATTCTACCAACATTATATTTACCAGAGTTACGAGCTAATTCTACCACATTATGTTTATCAGAGTTTTGAGTTAACTCTACCAAAATTATATTTACGAGTTAAACGTTAACAGTTAATTAAATTCTACCAAATTTATGGTTACCAGAATTACTAATTAATTTCACCTACATTATATTTACCAGATTACGAATTAATTATACAAGATATGTTTTGTTTAACAAAGTTACGATTTAATTCTACCAATATTATGTTTACCAAAGTTATAACGAATCGATTCTCCAAATTTATATTTACCAGAGTTACGAGCTAATACTACCAACATTATGTTTACCAGAGTTATGAGCTAATTCTACCAAATTATCTTGCAAAGATGTTTATTTGTATAGCGTATATTTAATTTTAAAAAACATTTCATTTTTGCATAACTTTTAAACACATCATTATTATTCATTTCTATTTCTCTTGTTTGATAAGTCTATCTCACCTTTCTTTCTTATATTTCCTATTTGTGTTTTATAATAAAAGTGGTTTTGACCAAGTTATTCTATTATACTGAATATTTCACGATAGATATTCATCATATGTTCAGCACTATAATTTTATATTTACTTTTATTCTGATTTCAACCCTAGCCTGGATAAAATAAAAAAGCATAAATTAAGTATAATTCCAGGCAAAATTATGCATAAATCCAGGAAAAATTAGATTTTAATTTCAATAAAATCAAATTATATTTTTAGGCAAAATTAAGTATGAAACAATCTCTTTGGTTCTAGCAACGCGAAATTTTGATATAAAACTATCGCACAAACAAAAAAATTTGCTCTAACGACAATTAACAAGAATTTAAAATTTTGTTTAATCCAGATTTAATAGAACTTCTTGCCACATTGAAACTTAAATCACATGATATTTGATCATATGAAATTGATCTACATCTTGTATTTGTTTTTATTAACATTAACGTTAATACAAACAGTTGATCCAAAACAGTACTGTAATATGCTAAACAAAAAATTTTTTTATAAATCTTTTATTTCTTATATCAATACTCTTAAATCTTCTCTGCCAAGACTTGAAGATTTCTTGTATCATGTTCAAGACATCTCAAAAAATAAAATCTGTTCATGTCATAAAAAATTAGTACATAAAACTTTTTTTACGCAAATACAAATTATATTATCACTTAGTAAACACTTATCTGATATAAAACGTCAATATGAAAAGTACGCAGACTCTCTTGATAAAAAGCAATTAAGAAATATTAAAGAAAATATAAGAGAAGATATAATTATTGCAAAATTAAGTTTATAATGATTAAATTCATGCATATAACAATAAGTTTCCTGAATTTTATATTTGATTTATAACTTGTTCACTGCAGTGATATTTGAATCGGACCATTAATTTGCATTGAATTTTTTTCATATATTGATTGCTTTCAACAGGTTATGCTTTAATTAGGCTATTAATTTGCCCTGGATTTTTTCTCATGCTATATATTGACAAAATCAGGCCATTAATTTGCCCTGAATTTTATATACTATTTTTTTGCGTATTATTCATTGGATAATTGTCTAGCTAATTATGAATAGAAAGCACTATTAAATAAGTTTTATATAAATTTGGTTGACTATTATATTTACTTATTTCAATTTGAGGCACAAAATAGCCATGTCCTACAGTTTTGGGCAGATGTTGCCTATTGCGAAGAAGATAATAAAAGTAGCAAAAATGGTAAGTTTATGTTCAAAAATTTAATTACAAGTATATATTATATTTATTATTTATTCTAACTTAATTTAATATTACCGGTAATAGTTCATAATTTAATGAATTTTGTATCTGGAAGATTCCTCTTGGAACTTAAGTCATGTGATGATTTAGTACAACTTGACGATTTTAAGAAACTTGTGAATAATATGATAGAAGAGTATCATAAAGTTATTATACAAAAGACTCAAGAAGCACACAAAAAGAGGATTATTCAAAAATGGAAAGAAATAGCGGTTAGTAAAATTAAATCCAATTTAAAAATATTGATAATAAATTCTTTTTGACATTTCTACATTTTAGGGAAATAGTTCATTATTCTCTTCAAATTCTTTTGACATTTTTGAAGACAAATTTATTCAAAAAAACCTTCTTGATTCTTTCTATTGTATGACAATTAACCTTTTTCATGACTCTGAACTATAATGTTCTCAGGACAAATTTTATACAATTCAAAATATCAAAATTTGAATCAGTAAATCTTAAAAATATATCTGAAATTAATAATTCAGTTAAAGATTTATTTGAAAATTTTAATCTCCAGAATATTAATGAGTTGCAAAACCCAATATTTCTATCAAATATTTTCCATCACTAAACTTAAAGTTATCAGAAGGTGTTTATAGCAAACGAGTTAAAGTATCTATTATTGAAATCTTAAAATTGTGGTAAGATAACTAAATTAAACAATGATAAAAAATATTTGTATTATATTTTTTTATTTAATTTCATTTAACTTAGGATAATCACTTGGAAAAAGGACGAAGAAATTGATGAAAAAGACTATGTTCATATATTTATAATCTCACCTTTAGAAAAACTTCTTTTAATAAATTTATTACAATATATTACACTACATGGGTAAACAATATCAAAATTAATATATTTATTATTATTGTTATCATTATAGTTTAGTTAATTCTAGTTTTAAATAATAACACTATTAAAATATTGTAGACCAGAACATCCAACATATTGCTCATATAAACGCAAAAGTTTCTTTTTTAATTTTGATGATTTGGAAGTTTCTAGTTGTCAAGTTTTCGATTAGTTAGTTAAGAATGAGGATTTTAACAATCCAGAAACTTATTCTAAAGAAATTATGTCAAAGAAAAAATATCATAAAAAAGTTGATATTGCTATTTCTTATATTTCTTATCGTGTAGAAAATGTGATAAATAATGGAGTTCAATATGGATATTTTTATCCTATTTTGGGTGAAGCTAAGCCCCCAAACATTAATGGTGATAATGATTATAACAAACTCAATCTAGCATTAAATGACAATTTTGATACAATAATCAATCATTATTCTAAAAAAGTAAAAGAAATTTCGGATGATTTATTAGATTTATTTAGTGATATCAAACTTGGCGGAATTCATGTAACAGGTGATTTTTAATACATTTCTCCCTAATATTTACTTAAAACTAAAAAAAGTTTTTGTTTTAGATGGGGAGATCTATCTTCTACAATATATAAGGTATTCAAATCAAAAATTTGGTGTTTTAGCTAATATTAGTTCTTCCAAGATTCTTTCAAAGTTTGAAGATCAACAAGCTGGATATATAATAGATTTTTTGTATTGTGTAAAGGTTAGTAATGTTATCGAATCTTATAATATAAAATTGTTTAAAACAAATTAAAAATTTCTTAGATTATGGTGCAAGATTTTATTAAACAAATTCGAAAAATTGAGAAAGAAATACAGAGGATAAATGAGTGCCAAAATAAAGAATTTTATAGCAAGGGTGAATTTTTATTGTACAATATTCTTACTACCCCAGCCACACCTCCACACAAAGGATAAATATCCTTTTCTGGATTAAAAACTCAGATTAAATACTTTGCATGAAGCTTGATTTATTTGGATATAATTTTGTTTTATTTCATTAAAATTGAATTAAATAAAAGAAATAAATTGTTAAATATTCAAAGAGCTAATAAATAAATAATGGATATGTAAATGTAAAGAAATTTTCTTGCAATTTTATATAAGGGGTAATATTTAAAGATTTATTTTCTATCTCGACGATACAACTATTTGTCAGTTTGCCCCCAAATTTAATAATATTAAATTAATGCCTGATGCAAAATAAGTTGTAGAAAGCCTACATGAAATCGGTATGATGAAATTATTCGTAAGTAAGAATTTAAATTTGAATTAAATCCATCTACTAATTTCGTCTTTATGTAGATTGCCACAAACTCTACACGTGATGAATTCAAAAAAAAAATGTCAAGATTTGAAGAATTTGTTTCTTTTTTCGATGAAATAATTTATGGAGATGATATCGAAGTAATGGAATGCAGAAATAAATATCAAGCAGTAATGAACCGTATGTCTTTGTCACCAAACAAATACATAGTCATCGAAGATTCTTCGTGTAGAATATACAAAGCCATTGAACAGAATTTAAAAGTAATATGGATTCAAGACCAAAAAATGAAAGAGTATTTTGATGAAAATTACAAAGATCTTTACGATGATAAGAATATGTATATTTTAAAATTATTAAATGAAGTTTATGTTAGAAATTTATTACAATGATAACAAACTTCTTTGTTGAGATATGTTTTTATATTTACTAATCGTAATTAGAGATTTGAATTGTAAACAATTCAGTTAATATAAATTGTAATTTAAACCTATTTAGTTAACTGATGGTTTATAAATAAAAAGTAGAAAATTTTTTTTTAAAAAAATAATAATTTTTAATATTTAAAATAAAATTGAATATTATATTGAGATAACAATGAGAGAAAACTAGACTTATATGCTTGAAGTCTAGTTTCTCATTTTTCTCATCTTAAGATTATGTCTCTTCTAAAAACTGTTACATCTGATCCTTTATCAAGTTTTACAATTTAAATGATTGATTTCACATGTCTTCATGTATTATCCAACTGAACAATTAAAGGTAATATAGTTAATATATTTATACACAATACAATTAAAAAATAAATCGTGTCAGTAAGACTTAATTTACAAAAATATCAACTCAACTCTCGATGTTTTTAGTTAATCGATTAGAAGAGTAGTGCATTTAATTTAGAAACGCTTTTATCAAAGGATGAAATAGAAGAACAAAATGGATAATCAGTTCAAGGAGCAAATACTTTATTAAAACTATAAAGAAAAAATTCCTAAAGAATTACATTGAACAAAGATAATAAAAAAATAATAATTACACGAATAAGTACGGTTCAAATTTTTTTTTTGCTAATTGTGCAGCGTACTTATTTTTTAGTGTAGAAAATTTATCTATTCAACTATACTATATTATTGTTAATTTCTAAATTACAATATTTCTCTAATTTAATGATATATAGCTTGAATTATCAGAAAAACTATCAATCTAGATTATTGATAATGTTTTTTTACCTTAATATATAAGATGCGCTTTTGGCGTTTTATTACATAATCCTTCAACTATTCAAATATAATATTAAATTCAATTTAATTGATAATTTTGTCAAATATCAGATATAATGAAAGCCAGATATTAGAAGTAATTCAATTGTTGCAATATTATGAGTAATTCACTAAGTTTTTTTTTTAATTTATAAGTACAGCCTGACCTCATTATATGTGCTGTATATTAATTATATAAATTATATGCTTATAATAATTGATTCTTGATGGATGAATGAGTGGATCACATTATTCTGGACACTCTGCTTAAATAATTTATGAAGAATTATTTATATTGGGATGATTCAGAATTAACTTATTTTTAAAATAAATGAGAGTTTAAAAAATCTCATTTTTAGTTTGAGATTCCGAAATCAGAAAACCAATGTTAAATCATTGTTATTGCTTATTCAGCATTAGAGATATTATAAAAATTAAAAAAATAAGAAAAATTATAATAAAAAGCTTTGAGGGTTAAAATTTAAATCACATTAAACTTTTTTGAATTTTCAGAATTAATTGGTTATAAATAAAGTTAAAATAGTCTAAATTCAATTCAATTATATCAATGTCGTTATCACAATTTTCGAAGAATTTACAGCAGTCTTTAGCTAATGATAAATCTAATGTCTTCAATTTTTCTAAAAGTCTATTCTTCTCTATATTTGCCAAAGCTTTTCTCTCCTTTATATTCTTAAAATTCTTTATGAAATATTCTGATATTGTTTTTCTAACATAGAGAGCTCATTTGTTGATTAATTTTTTGTTTTAAATGCCTTTGTCTCAAGTAGTTTGTTTTCTTCTAATGATTCAATTTGCTTTACTGAGTCACCAAAATCGAATACTTCTCGAGCGGGCATACAAGCAGTAACTCAGCTTCTAAAAAAAATTATCCAATTAATCGATTGCATTTTTGGTCCGATTTGGAACACCTACGTACAAATGACTCAATAATTGATAAAATTCTGTATGTTATATGAATACTGTTCACTTTAATTTAGTGGGCGGTATAAAGATGATTTATTAATCGGTGGATTAAAAAAAGTGATTCATGTTTACAAACACTACCCTTTAGATTATCATTCTATCCAGTTAGTGAGCATTACCATTTAAGTGCGAAATAATGCCCACCTGTGCGTTAATTAATTGACATGCACATTATTTCGTGTATGTTATTTCGAAATAAGAGAAGATTTTCTAAATTCAATACAGGCAACCTTCAATAAATTCAATTGTTGGGTAAAAGTGCATTTATAGAATATTAAAATAACGCCTCTGCTTGCCTATAACGCTCCTGCACGTTTATACAGATTAGGAGGCCCATAACCAAATTTATTTATTTAATCAAATTTATTAATAATAGTAAAATTATAATGATAACAAATACAATACATAATAATATCATAAATTTCAATTGATGAATTTTAAGATTAATAGTTTAATTGTTTATTTAATATTTATATTTAAATCCTTATGATTATTTATGAAAAAATGAATTTCTATATAGCAGATATTTTTGATATAGCAAAATTTTTTACATCATGGAATGTGCCTGAGTATATAATTTATATTCTGATGTTCGAATATTTTCATATATCGAAGACTTTTATTAAACTATTGCATAAAAGACACGTAATTTTTAAAAAAATAATAATAATAATATTTTTAAATTATGGGTAGTATAAATTTTTTGCCTAGAAACTATCATACAGTATATTTTAGAAAATAATTAAAATAACTGATTCATTGAAAAAAAAATGTTATTTAAAAATAACAATACTTATATAATTTTATAGAATATAATTACAATTTCATAATTTTATCTGTTTTTATATTAAATCTAATTGCTTTATTTTTAATTATCAAATTTTAATTTGATTAATGAATAATTATGTGTATTTTAAAAAGTAAATCTTGTATAAATAGATTAAAAATTGTCTAAAGTTATTATGTTTTTTATAGCCCTGTAATGCAGTGACTTTACAATAAAAAGGTTTGTTCACTAAGTAAAATTTCTCTATAGCATAACTTGATTATAATATTTTATAACAATGGAAATATTACAAAACATTAAAACTCATTATGACAATAGAACACTTGTAGACACTAAAATAATAGTGGACGAAAATGACAGCTGTAAAGAAATTTACGTTCATTCTCAAATACTTATGATACAATCCAAATATTTTAGTAATGCTTTATCTAAAAAGTGGGCCCATAAAGAAAATGATTACTATATTATTAGGAAACCCAATGCGACAAAAGAGAGCATGGATAATATATTAAAATATCTTTATTGTGGAGAACAATATATTTCACAGGGAGTTAAAGAATTTATAAACACAATTTTGCTTGCTGATGAAATGTGTATAGAAGCATATCTTAAAAAGTTAAGACAATATTTTATATGCAACATTGAAAATTAATAAGCGAGGATTTGCAATTAATTCTTGATTTTATTGAAAGCAATAAAGATATGAAAAAAACAGTAGTAAAAACAATATGTAATAAACCTGGACTTTTTTTTTTAGCCAAAAATTTTCAAAACATACCTATTAAACATTTGAAATTAATTATATCACAAGACAATTTAAATATAACAGAACTACAAATTCTGTACAAAGTAATTTTATGGTTAGAAAACAAAGATTGGGATGAATACAGTAATATAATAAACTGCATACGTTTCGATCAAATAACCGATGATGATTTTATAGACTTACGTATGAAAGTTAGAAAAAACCAAATTAGTGAAAGTATTTTTAAAAAGGTATCTGATAATTATACAAAATCAAAAACTAAGCTAAATTTTATTTGTTATAGCAATATAAATATTGACTCAAATATTATATGTAAAGAACAACTCATGAAGTTAATGCAATGGATTGATAGAGAAGAAACAACAAATTGCAGATACAAATTTAATTTATTATTAAGAGAAATTACAAACAAAGCTAAAGAATTTTACAGCTTTTGTGATAATAAGGGTGCTACAATCGTGATTGGAAAGAGAGGTAAAAATAGTTTTATTGGAGGTTATAACCCTTTAAGTTGGTCAAGTAATTATACATACAAATCAACAAAAGATAGCTTCATATTTAGTAAAGATAATAAAGATATAAGATTAGGTAGGATTATATCCGATTTTGCCTATGCAATTTACTGTAATCCAGAATTTGGTCCTTCATTTAATAGATATGAATTTTATATTCCAGACAACTCCAACAACTAGCAAGTTAAAAATAATAAGTATGAAAGTATAGGCCTTGAGATGGTGCACGCATGTTTTTTCGAATTATTCGAAGTATTCCAGGTAATTAAATATGTTAAATAATTAAAAAAATCAAATTTTTATGACTATGAATTGATTTAGCTTAAATTTTAGTATCTGATTTTATTTTTCACTGAACTGTACTGTGTTATCACAAAATAATGCTCAGGACATTATTTACTAATATTGTTCCTAAAGCTTAAATACATATTTTTACTAGTTATATCCTAATATGAGTTATGTTAGCATTTCTTTAAATTCCGACATTATTACATTAAACAAGCATGTGAGGATAACTAAATTTATATAGTTTAAAGTGTATTTCTGTTTTTTTTTTTCTTGTAAGGAATGCTACATATATTATTTATTAGGCTAACAATCTTGAAATTCATAAGTTCTGTTAATTCAATATAATTTTTCTGTTTTATTTTAAACTTGTTTAAGTATTGACTATCAAAATTACTAATAAGACGTTAAAATAAATTATAATAGTGGGGTCAAAATCTCATCAAGTCAATTTTGTTAGGATTTGACCCGAACCTAACGGAAAAAATTATTGCAGGTAGAATCATGTAACAAATTCTGTCTTCGATTTTGAATTAGGTATTGTTATTATTAAATATATAAATTTTATAAAGTAAAATTTATAAAAATCATGTAATTTCTATAATTGAATTGACTTTAAATTAGAGTGTTTTATTTTAAAATTTACTTAGGTCGTATTCAAAGCTGATTTTAACAGTATCAGAGTCTAAAATATGAATATAGAAGTTGAGACCACTCTATTGGCTCATTAAATTATCAAACAGGGAAACTGTCACCTCATTTGTAGACGCGTTATCTAATTTTAGATTATAACTATTATACTAAAATCGTAGAATCAGCTTTGAATAGTACCTTAGTCATTTTTTTTGGAGCATCACGCAAGCAAAGCGATTTCTATCAGTAAAG